TGACACCCGCTGTTAGCAAGGGGTACATCTCCCACCCTGGGAAGGGCTTGCTCTCCCATACAGGCACTGTGTGCGAAACAGCAAATGACACCAGCAGGTAGTGTGGGAGGAGAGCGTGCACAGTCTTTACCCCCACCTTGTGCTGGTGGCCTGTGAAGGCGGTCATTATTCTAGCGAGCTCATGAACGAATGGAGTTGCCAAACCAGGAGAGCTCAAAGAGTTAAAACAGCTTGTTGTTCCAAGTATTAGACAAGAAAAGGAAGACAGGAGCTCACTGGGCATCTGATTTACTAGCAGGCTAGTTTTCCTTCTGTGTCCTCTGTCTTTTCACATGAAGGAGGCCGACAATGTCATCTCCCAAGGACGTTTGGAAACCGGGGAAAAGAATCCATCCCCAGCCACAAGCTGCCAAGATGCACCACAGTTTTGAAAGATAACCAGCAGCTTTACCACCCATGTAAAAACCAGAGTTAACACCAGTAGCCTGACCTCTTCGGGTTTCTATGGTCCAGCAAGGCTGGATCTGACCAGTAAGGGGATGGGAGGTCCCCAAGGATTAACCAGATTGCTGGAGCTTTTAATTAGTGCAGAAGAACCAGTAGGTGGCACCCTTTCCTCTGGACCAGAATTTGCAAACCAGAATGTTCCAGTATAGTGTACAGTATGTGTTAGCTGTGCAGTGGGAAGTGTCAGCTTTGAGAAGATACTTTGCATGTCTTCTTGCCCATTAAAGATCCCATGACCATTCCTAAGAGCACAGGTGTTAACACCAGCAAATATCTTGTCATCTTAAAAAGTCTCACTTTTATTTCACATCATCTTACATAATTGAACACCTAGGATTTGCATTAGCACTTTACCAAATTCCATGCTAATATTTTTCCTAAACCGAATGTTTCAGCATAGATAAAAAATGATTATGACTGCTTTTCCTGATCTGCAGTAGTTCTGTGTGTCGAGACAGTGTCAGACTTCCTTCGCACAAGCGGTGTTCCCAACACAAACCACACAGAACAAAAAGAATTGATAACAAATGAAGACAGTGAATAGGGAGGATAAGACAAGGATAGGGTTACTTCTGCCTGAATCAGATTCTCATTTTGGTCAAAGAATTTTCACTCATCTCTTAGAGATGTCTGCATTTCCATCGCATGACGCGCGAACTCAATCCGTTGTTTTAAAGCGCTGAATTGAATTAGGTCCCCGTGGAGAGGATTAGATCAAATCCCCTTGCCCGTGCCTCGGGGGGGGGTTGAGATGATGTAAATTCTGTTCATCACAATGCTTTAGTACCTTAAAAGCTGAAAAGTTATACAGCCCAAGTCACGGTGCAAACAATGTTTTCAGCACAGCAATGTTTCTTATAGCTTTCGCCTTGCTATCTGGCCGACAAAAACCCTGTTTATCGCACAGTGAAAACGCTCATTACTTTTGGTCTGTGGCTGACGTGTCCGCCCAAGTGACTTGCATTAGTCCCCACCTCTACAGCTAATAATTCTACTGGCACAATCTCAGTGAAGAATCTTGCTGCTGCCCCTGTCGATAAACTACTGACCAAATTGATGATTTGTATTTAAATCTGACTTGTTTAGTCCCTCTTACATTTCCACACTCTCATCATTCAGATAAACCCTCCTTACGAGCAGCAATGTTGCCTGGAAGAGCCAGCTTGTCAACATTTTGCTTCAGTCTGCACATCCTTCTCAAGGATGAATGGAGCAAGTTGAATGCCTGACCTATGATAAATAATACATTAACTCTCGTCTCTTGATACTTTTGCAAAGCTCTTCTGTTTCTGTACTTTCACCTCCAACATCATGGGCTGCCAATGTGTGCTTCAGGTTAAGAAGCCAGGTAATCAATCAGTTTGATTAAGCTTGCAAAGTATGTAGTTTTCATTTTTGCCTGATCTTGCAAAACTCATGAATGGGGTGAATATGAATGGGGAGAGGAGCTGGGCAGAATTAGAAACTCTAGCAATTTACAGAGGAGTTGTTAACTCCTGCCTCTGGGGCCTTACAAGAGCAAACAAAAGTGAACAATGGGCATGGCTCTTTTGTGTAGGCAGCAGTCATCACACTCGTTCAGGCTTGCTCTTGGAAGTCTCAGAGGCTTCCAAGACGTTTGCGAAGGTGTTCGCACTTGCAAGACAGCAGAAGTCACACCAGTCAGCCCAATTAACAATGAGGGACTGTAGACAGCCTCACACCTGCTCTACTAGAGAATAGGTGTGCTGTATGGTTTGTGACAAAGCAAAGGAAACATTCAGTAACGTGAATGAAAGAAGTTCTGACATTTTAGTACTATGGAATATATGTCAGAAAATAAAGTCACTTTGTGGTATTTTACACTGTACTAACATGAAGGGGGTTCTCTTTTATAGTTATAGCCTGGAGAAATAAAACAAAATTAGAGACCAATTCAGATGTTCAGTATTCAGGGGCTGGGTATGTCTCCAGTGGTCATGTCTGGCACTGCAATAATGAGTCTAGTTATTGGACTATGATCCATTTGCTTTCCCATATCAGAAGATCAGTTGTGCTCTTTATCTTGTCTGTTTTGTTCCTGATTGCACAGAATCTGTTGTCCAACTGCATAGGTTAACAGAGGATGTCCATTGTGAGCCAGTGTTGCTTTATGCTACAGTAAAGATGAAACAAAAAAGAGGTATATGTTTTTTTTTTCAATTGTAATTACAAATGAGATTAATGAAACATTAAAATAATCATTTGTCACTTACCATCATACATCACTTATGTGCTTAGGGGGGTAAGATATAAAATCAACCAAAAGAAACACCGCTAATAGCCAATGGTTGCATATCTTCAATATTTTAATGAACTATATTTGTTTTACTGAAACTCTGCCTGGGTCGTGTGCATTGCAGCCATGTTTTGCAGAAAACAAGTCTCCTTGGCATTTAAGGCATCTCTGTTTTTGGTGGTGGCAGACTGGGTGGACTACAATGGGCTTGTTTAATTTCAGAAACAAGGCGTTAAACAAAAACAGGACAGAACTGGGACCGGGTGGGACTGGTTTCTAAACTTAAACTGCCAGTCTGACAGTTTAAAATGACAGTCTGACACAACCCATCCCTTCAAGGAAAATATACCGCTACCACAACACTGGGTATTTTGTGGTGAAGGAATTAAAAATTGTACTCGGGAAGTCTGGGCTTGGAGGAGGCTGAAAGAGTTAATTTTGGGGGGATTGGTCTGGCGCATAAACAAGACGCCAGCCTGAAAGGTTTTGATTTAGGTTTTTGTTTCTCCCATTCCCTTATGTGAATTTTTAATTCTCTGTGTGAGAGGGAGCCCAGACTCCCGCTTAGTGTTATTAGTATTTTATTGACAAAACACTTGTTCTCTTAAGCTCTGGGAACATTGTCTTGATATACACCATGTTTTCATTTGCATTTCAGCAGACTGACAGGGGGACTTATCATGGGCCCATAATTCCAAACTGCACCTAGGATATTGTAAGAAAATAAAAACCAGATTAAATGCATTAGACACATTTAGCCAAAGGTAAACAAAGTGCTTTTTCTAGCACAACTGACATTCCTGTAGGAACTATATAACTATATATTTTCAGTTCAGAGAAGTGGAGTTCCGATGTGTTACATTTTATATACATCAGTTCCTCACAGATATCGGTCATCCGTCCATCTTTATTATTATAAAGAGTTATTATTGGACCACGTAGGCCTATACAGGGCCAAGGTGAGCTGGAGACAGAGGCCAGGGGGAGAGCATGCAGAATGTGCTCTATGTTGTACTCGAACACCAGACCAGAGAGCTTTGGAGACTGGAGAGAGCACTGCCATGCTCCCCCGCATAAATAATTTTTAAGAAAGAAATCTAGGTTTTAATAATAATATTTCCTTGCATCCGCACGAGTGCCTTTCACCCCAAGGGTGCTTTCCCTACAGGAGGGGCCCCACATCGTCCAGTACTGAAGTGCGCCCCCACCAGGGTGACGCGCAGCAGCCCACAGATCAGTGGGAGGGGAGGGGTGAGAATTTGCTTCCCCAGTTGAAGTAAGGGGGGAACTCTGGGGAGGTCAGATCGTACAAGCACACTAACAGCGCCATGGCAATTTTAAACGACCAAGCAGTCAGGATCGCGATCTAACATTTAATCCGTAGAACGGCACCTCCTACAGAGTAGCAAATTGTCTCTTATCGCCATACTGGGGCACCGGGTTATAAATTCTGGCCCAGAGGGAAGAGTGCCACCTACTGGTCCACCAACACCGCTTACAACAGCACTGATCAGGCCCACCCCAGCATCATCCATCTCCTGATACACAGGTCGGAGGTTCACGATTTGCGGGCGATCAACGAACGCCTCGCACACACTTCACAGTATTTTCCTATAGAGAGTAAAAAAGCTCCACCTTCCGGACACACAGTGTAAAGCATTCCGAAAAATGAATAAAGAACAATTAAACCCATTGTCCATAAAAGTTAACCCATGTTTGCCGGAGCTGAGAAAATCCGTGATGAGACGATGTAGTAAAGCAATGCTCCAGCGTGCTGTTTAACCGACTGAACCACACGGCATAGTATTTCTTTTTAGACATTTCTGTGGTTAAATAGGAGATCCTAGAAATATCCCTCAGAGTTAAAAAAAGAAAAAAAAATCTGCAGGTTTGTTTGGCAACATTTTATCGACGAAGTTGTTAACCTGTAATGCCTTCGTGTTCCCCTTTGTTACTATCAGAGCAGAAACGACAGAAGCACACCACCCAGATTTCGAACAAAGTACTTTAATGTCGTTAAAAATAAAAATAAAATCGACACATGTCGCGTTACCTCGGTTTTACGTAAATGTACAGAGAGGGGCACGGAGTTATCTCCAACCAACAGTGAGGGGGGAAAAAAAAACCCCAACCACAACACATTTTTATCGACGCCAAATTCATTTAAGAACAGCGGGCCGGCTGCGCCTTTAAAAATTACAGCGGTCGGAGGTTGTTGTTTTTTTTTCCAAAGGGGGAGGGAGAGCCCGACCATTTTGAATGAATTTAGTGAGCTCACTTCCTCTCGGCTTGCTATTTTCCCCCTCGGTCGCAGGATTTTTTTTTTGTGTGTGTTCTCAATCGCTTTCCATTCGTAGGGAGCTAAGAAGGAGAGAAAGAGAGGGAGGGAGCCATTACGAGGTTGCTAACCGACACGACCGGGAGGCTCGGCACACACTTGGGCCCGATCTCAGCCAGACCTGCAGAAGATTACGAGGCCGCTAGGAGCTTTTCCCCCCCGCTGCTGCAAACGCATTTTTTAATCCTATTTTTATTCCTCCTCCTCCTCCCCAAGACTGTAAACGCAGCAGACACAATAGTAAACAAAATGGAGAACGAAAGCAAATATCTCCCCGAGTTGCTGGCGGAGAAGGACAGTCTGGATTCCTCCTTCACTCACGCCATGAAACTGGTGTCCACAGGTAAATCGAGCCGCTCTGGAAACTTTTCGTTGTTGTTGGTGGTTTTTTTGTGTGTGTGTTAAGGAATAAACGGGGCGCCGAGCTGCCAAAAGCCGACGAGAAAGGGGGGCTTTTCTTCTTCTCCTGCTGCTATCGCGGTGAAAATGAAAAGCGTAAATGTTTCTGAAGTTGGCGGGGGGAAGAGCGCACGTCGTGGGGAAGAGTGTCTGTGAGACAAAGGGTTTCGCTCACCCCTCTCGCACACGGCCGGGTACTTGTTGGGTTTTTAATTAAAAAAAAAAACGACACAACGTTTTTTTTTTATGGTGTTTAACATAGTCGGGCGGCGTTGGTGTTCTTTGATTCTCGTTTTTAAATTTTAATTTAAAGCCGGTAACCCGATCGGGTCGGCATTCGTCTCGGGTGTCTGCCGGCGGCGTGGTGACGACGAGCCCCGGGCCGGCCG